TTTCCCCGTGGACCGACCCGTGACGAGATCCTATTCCCGGGCCCTCAACAGTTGACTTTTGAAGGACTTATAGTATTCCAGATCTAAGAAGCAGGAAAATCAGTAGGATCCAAACTACCCATTTTAGAGGCAAGGGACTTAACAGAAAATTCACCATTTGAATTCCATTTCCAACTCCATTTGTCTTTCAATTGCTGATCAATCTTCTGATTTTGAAGAAGTGCCATCAGGTCCCCAATCTCTTCTAATTCCCAGTCAAACAGATCCCTCCTAAAAATGGGAGTCCAAATTAGAGACCCACCTGTCACACAGCAGTACTCAGCCACAGAAGCTTCTTGATTAAGAGCACACTAAAAAAAAATGAGGAAAGGATTCAGCTAGAGTCCCATCCAAACACCAAGGGTCCTTCCAGAACTTTGTTCTTTCCCCATTACCAATCTTGACAGAAATCCCTTCCATGAACAGAGAGAAGTTTTTCATGATAGATTTCCAAGGGGAACTACCCCAACTTAGGGGAGGATCCCTGGATCTCCAATTACCCCACTCCACCCCATATTTATCTACAATGAGAGATCTCCAACAAGCCTCCCTTTCAGCCGAGAACCTCCAAATTCACTTGCTTAGCAGGGCAGTATTGAAATTCTTCACTTTCCTAATGCCTAACCCACCCTCAGCCTTAGGAAGACAAACTTGATCCCAGCTTACATGATGCACTTTTCTCTCCTCCCCCCAACCCCTCCAAAGAAAGTTCCTCTGGATCTGCTCCAATCTTTTGGCAACTTTGATAGGGATGGGGAAGAGAGAAAGAAAGTAAGTAGGAAAATTGGAAAGAGTGCTTTTTATCAGAATAAGCCTACCCCCAAATGAGAGATATCTAGCCTTCCATGCAGCCAACTTCCTTTCCAATCATTCAATAACTAGGTCCCAAATCGATGAAGCAAGACAATTTGCACCCAACGGCAGTCCCAAATATTTAACCAGAAGGAATTCAGTCTGACAAGCCAGAACCTCCGCACAATCAGCTAAATTAGATACATGACCCACTGGAATGATTTGACTTTTATTCCTGCTGACTTTTAGTCCAGCGATTACCTCAAACCAAGATAGGATTCCAAGGACAAGATCTAACTGGGACGGAGAAGCATCCACAAAGAATAAAGTATCATCTGCAAATTGGAGGATATTGATCTTTTCTCCTTTAGGAGAGAATGCAAAGCCTTCCCACTCACCAGATTCTGCAGCCTTTCTACAAAACAAAGTGAGAATCTCCATGACACAAATAAAGAGCAAGGGGAACAAGGGATCACCTTGTCTTAATCCCCTATAGCTATCAAAAAACCCTGTTGACTGACCATTAACCAACACTGAAAATTTTGAAGTGGAAACACAAACTTTTATCCAATTTCTCCATTTCTGCCCAAACTTCATATGTTGTAACACCAAATCAATACACCTCCAGTTGACATGATCATAAGCTTTTTCAATATCCAGTTTGCAAATCAAACCAAGGGAGCCCTCTCTTTTTCTTGAGTGAATCAGCTCATTTGCAATAAAAACAAAATCAAGCATCTGCCTCCCCAGTACAAAAGCACTTTGATTATATGAGATAACATTCCCTAACACCCCTCTCAGCAAGTACTTTAGCTAGGATCTTGTAGAAACTATGCAAGAGACTGATTGGCCTGAAGTCTTTGATGTTAACCGCCCCTTCAATTTTTGGGATGAGGGTGATAAAGGTAGTATTTAAGCTTCTTTGAAGGGAAGCATTATCATAAAATGCCTGAAAAACATTCAAAATATCTTCCTTCACAAAATCCCAGCATTTGACAAAAAAAAGGTTGGTAAGCCCATCTGGCCCAGGTGACTTATCCGCTGCCAACATAGTTATGGCCGCTTTAATTTCTTCCTCCGAAAAGGGTCTCTCAATGAGATAGGACTGCTCTGCATTCAGCTGTTTAAAAGGAAGGCCTCTTGGAAAGGGTCTGATCGGCCAATTCTCTTTATAGAAACTAGTATCCATTACCTTTAATTGAATCAGATTCCCCCAATCTGCCCTCCCACTCCAGCTTACTAATTGAAAAAACTCTTGCTCTGGCATTTACCATTTTATGAAATAAATGAGTGTTTTTATCCCCCTCTTTCAACCAGGCCACTTTAGCCCTTTGTCTCCACTTGATTTCTTCTTTTACTGCCAACTTATCATACTTGATTTTTGCTTGAGACCTCTTCATTTTGCTTTCCTCAATTAAAGGACCTACTTCTTCTGCAACATCAATTTCCTTAATAAGACTCAACAAAGCTCTCTTTTCAGTTTCAGAATTCAAATTATTCTTCGCTTTCCAGATTTTCAGCCTCTTCTTAACTACACCAAGTTTGTTTGCCAAAATGAAAGAGCTAGTACCCTCCACCTGCAGTTCATTCCATACAATCTTCAACAAGGGAACAAACTTCTCATCTTCAAACCAGGCATTCTCAAACTTGAAGGGTGCACTGATTTTTCCTCTAAATCCACAGACCAGCTGAATTGGACAATGATCCAAAACAGGCCTAGGGAGAGCAATTTGCCTAAAATCAGGAAAAAGTTCTTCCCAATTTGAGGACACCAAAAACCTATCCAATCTTACCAGGGTGGGAGTGTCTTGATTGTTAGTCCAAGTAAACCAGCTACCCTGAAGAGGGAAATCAATCAGCTCAAATCTGTTGATGAAATCAGCAAATTGAAGCATCCCTCTTGACCTCCTACCACTGGTGTTTTTTTTTCAGCAGTAGCTAGAATGACATTGAAGTCTCCACCAATGACCCATGGAAAAGATAGACAACCCCTCGCTTCAACCAATTCTTTCCAAAAATCCTCCCGAAGATTTCCATCTAGCGGACCATAGACATTTGTGACTTGACAAATATTACCATCAGGAAGTTTCAAAATTAATGAGATTGAGAATCTCCCAATGTGAGCAGAAATTAAACTGCAAATAGAAGGATCCCAGAGACTCAACAACCCCCCTGCACTTCCCACAGCCAGTTTAGCTTTCCATCTGACCTCTCCCTCCCCCCAAATACTTCTTACTATTGCAGCATCTAAATAATCCAATTTAGTTTCTTGCAGCATGATAATCTTCGAACCTGACCTCTTCAGAGATGCACACACCACAACTCTCCTCCTTCCTGACCCCAGCCCTCTTACATTCCAAGACAGAAATTTTAAATCCATGATGAGAACAAGAAAAACAACCCCCCCCCCACACCGATCCCTCACTACTACCAGCCTTATCATTTAATAGTCAATCTTTTATTTTTTTCACAATTGCATTACTTTAAATAGTTAATAGTTAATATGATGTTAAACATTCTGCATTCTTGATTCTATGAGCCGCCTCTGTACAAAGTCCCTCGAGGGGGGGGGGGTCTTAAATTGCTAATCCATACAAAAAAAAAGAGATTTTAAAATTTTAATAAACAATTTTCTAAAATCTCTTTTTTTGTTGGGATTCAGAATTTAAGGCACTACCATGGACTTTGTTTGGGCTTTCCTAAAGAGACATGGTTGGGGGCCAGGGGCCCCAGTCACTAGGCTTAAAACAGAGCAAAATTTGCAAAGTTGAAAAGGTGGACGCCTAAGGCACACTAGGTGCTTGCCTTTCCATACTGGCTGATTGGTTACTAGCTTTTCCAGTAACATAGGTGAATCCTAAAATCAACCTATGAGGTAAGGGGTACAATATCCTCTTTCTTCCGTTCTCATTTAATAATCTTTTAGCTATTTTTAGGTTAATTGATTCACTTTTTTGTCAATATGGAAGATTTTACCTTATTTTCACTGGACTGATAAATAAGGTCCCCCTCCCCCATCCAGTATGATTTTTGAGGGAGCAAGGATTATCTGAATGTGATGGCTGTTCAGTGGGCTGTGGAACCAATGATAAGGTTCCACACCAGTAATAAAATACATGGGCCCATGAATTTATTACTGGCATGGAACCTTATCATTGGTTGCACAGCCTGCTGAACAGCCATTGTGTTCAATCTGAATTCTTTTTTAGGGCAGTGATATGCTATTATCTTAACAATTTAAAATTATGGGAATAACTTACTTAATACTTTCATCTTTCAATCACATACACGAAAGTACTCTTTAATATTCAAATTGGTTGACTAGAACTGTCCATTGTAGAGCAAAAGTGAGAAAAACAAACTAGAGAGTGGAAGTTATTTGTTTGACATTAAAGAGGTGAATCAACAGAAAGGATAATTTCAACTGTGTTTCTGTTGTTTTGCATGTTTTAACTTCATGCCACTACAACCATCCACGTATCGGTCTACCGACTGGATCACCTAGATAAGTTATTGGTCGATCTTGCATGCACTATAAAGTGACCAAGATAATATCACGTCGGCTATGACTTGTGAATTTTCAAGAATGCCTTTTCCTGTCAGATTTCCATCAAAGCATGCCTTTTCATGAGAAAATTGTTTAGATGCATTTAAATTAAGCACCAGTGTGTCACTTAGTCTATCAGAAGACATCCCATAAAATAACAACATTAATCAGCAATTAAGAAGACCAAAATATTAAAGAAGGAAACTATTAAGTGAAGGAACATAATCTGCTTTTGCAGAAATTCCATCCATTTCTATGAATTACTTAATTACTTCTTCGGAAACAGTAACTAATTCTAGCAATGCAATAATCTATCAAAAAAAAATCTGGTCATGCAATGATCCAGACATAAAACGATAGCATGTACACTATAAGATACCACGAGAATTTTTATTTTTCAATTTTTAATGAAGCAAAAGTGGATTCATCCCATAAATTAGGAAATTTTAACTTTTTGGAAAGCTAAGGTTCAGTTTAGAAGCAGTACCTATACAAATATGTACAGTACAAATACATAAAAAATAATACAAAATACAAGATTTTGCACTCTACATATTTGTATTTATACTCCTTCCAAATGGAGCCTAAGAAGGAAACAAATGAAAAAGAAATGTGACCTGACCTGTAAAACCCACCCAAGGGATCGCTTCCTACACTGCCCACCATGGCTATGTTCAACATAGGGCCTCCATTGGGCCGACCGCCTAGCCTAGCCAAGGCTACCAGTGTGTTAGAAAGAGACCCTCCAGCAGCGGCCTTGTAGCTGCAACCATCCATTGCTCGCAGAACTCTACCCCTCTCCTCATGGTTCACGAGCTTCCTTGTTCCCTTTTCTATTCCCAATCTCTCCAAAAATTCGTCATCCACCATTCCCGAAAAATCTACCTATATGTATGAATAAAAAGTGTAAAAATAAAAGGACAAAGAATGAAAGAAAAAGAAATGGAAGTTGATTTGTCCTTTTAAGTATTTAAAATAACAGAAAATCCTTCCCTAGGCAAGGATGGGAGAGAGAATTTCAAAGACATTCTTTTTTTCTTTTGTTAGCATGATTGAAATAATAAAATGTAGACGATTAACATTTCTGAAAGAATATCATAAAAACATATCTGAAAAAGAAAATTAAAACCACAGTTTTTTTCTTCTTCCACAATAATGGGGTAGGGGAGCAGAAGAGTGTTAAAGAAGAAAACATAGGTTTTCTCAGTTCTCCATCACAAGATAACACATTAAGAAGGGGGAATGAGCAAAACTCTAAATCCTTCGCCTCAAATTAATATTACAGATGGAAGTGAACATAGTAAACAAAAGATGATCAGAACTTTAAGGAGCAACAAAATGAACAAAGGAAAAGGACAAGTAAGAGCAAGTTGAATTCAAACAAGCAATACAATTCAGAGATACAGAGAAGAATGAATGAATGGTACCATAGCCTGCCCAAGACCCAAAACGTCCCATCTCTCTGGTGTCTCCTCCTCGACATCTTCATCATCATCATCTTCATTTTTTCCTTCTTCATCACTATCACTTCCGCTCTCCAATTCCTTTCCAACTGCATCCCATCTACGTGAGGTTTCAGAAACCCCAGAAATTCTCCAACCCCTCATTGCTCTCTCCTTGTCTCTGTAAGAGCAACAAAATCGACTAAAACCAACGATGGCGCCATCAGTTGTTTGGCGGCTGTTCTTTAAAAGACAAGACCTACAAGTAGGCGGCAAAAGTGGGCTAGAGAGGAGAGGAAGAGAGAGGGTGGTAGCACCGGCACCAAAGAAGAGAGAAGAGAAGACAGAGAGAGACATCTTGTTTCGCCGATGTTTCAGGATGGAGGTCGACGATGAGCCTCCATCATCCAACTCGGTGAATGCTTGTGAACCTTGGATTTGGTATTTATTTTATCTGAATCCGACTGGTTTTTTCATGGATCACCTGTTCGGCTGTTCCCTTCTCTTTTTTTTTTTTCTCTTTTTCTTCCAGAAGTGCCCTTGGACTTTGGATTCAAAGACTGATCTCTGCTGGATCCAGGCCCAGTGGCCCACAGATGGTAGATTGATGGATTAGTTGGTATTGGTTAGTTATTTATTGTTGGGATTTAGGAGAGCGAGGGTTCGATACCATGTCTTTCCCACAACATAGATTTTCCGGGAGAGCAATGCCAATTCCTATGTTAATGATTGGTTCACTCGTGGCCTGATCTGACGTGGTCAAATTATTCACCACATGTCAGATAATGAAACCAATTATTTGAATGGACCTCCTTTAATCATATGTCGGCATATCATCCGACACCCCGCAAATCTCTGTTATGAACAAAAATTGTTGATAGACACGTGGCTGAAAGAGAAGTTGTTAGCAAGGAACATTTGGGACCTCATATTTCATGGTAAGGGTATTTCTCTGCCACGTATTCATCCATTTGGACACGTTGGTGGACCACGAGTGAGTCACCAAAACTGACGCAATCATTTTCTAATTTCTGGGTAAAGTTGTGCAGATAGCTCCTGGGTTCAAAATGTGATTAGAAATTTAGAATTAACTATAAGGCCCAAAGATGGCCCACACCGTTGTGGACTGACTTTCTTTGCAAAGTACATTAACGTGAACTTTAAAACTGCGAATATAAGAGTAACCAATGACTTAAAAATTTACAAAAATAAATGGAATAGTTATGTTAAATTATATCTATATCTATATTACTATTATAAATGTGAATGAGAATAAAATTTCTATTTATTATATTTTTTTCCTTCAATTCCTTTTTATTAAATTTAATATTTAATATATTAACTTTCATTGTTTCACTCTCAAAACATGTACATGCTTACTGGTACCAAGATAAAAGGTTGCAATGTAAAGCCAATCTCATAAACAATGGATGAGATTAATTTGTCAAATTCAATGGGGTTTGTGTGTGATTATATATGAACACATGAGGTTAGCTTTCCATTTGTCAACTTTATAATGTGATTGGCACATAATTACATATATTTTGTACTTTTTCACTTTAAACGATATTCACTTTAGAAGTTTCCCATTTTTGTTATTTGGTTGGGTTTCACTTTAAATATTTTTTACTCTCTACCTCGAGTTAATACCCATTAAAATGTATCACATTAGCATTTGGTTCTAAGAAACACTGGGGCGTTAGAGGAAACAAGAACTTGATGTTTACCCATATGTCCCATGTATAAAAAAACAAAGTGTTTCAGTTTTCTACCATTTATTTGATAAAACAACGAAACTGAACAATTGTTTCATTTTATTTTATATGCAATAAATGTCAATACCTATGTGGTGCTAATGTGGTGATGTTTTTCCAATAAATGCCCACAAAAACAAGAATTCAGATCTGTGCCTCACAAAGGGGCGCCCCACAACGTCCCAAACACATCCCTGCCATGTATTAGGATCATCTCCCAATAATGACATCATCATTTCTGATACTATCATCGGGAGATATTCTCAATACACGATAAAAATATATTGTAAGACATTGTGAGGCGCAGATGTGAACTTCAGACACAAATACAGCCTTTATTAAACGTGATGGCATTTACATAAACCAAAATGCATTTTAAATTTTAGTTTGAATAAATTTATTAAGTATATTAATTTGTACAACAATTATTCATTATTTAAAACATTTACAAGAACAGCAACGATACCTATATTCTATTCACAACTTCCCACGAGGAACATGCCTGATTTGGGTGGATAGCGCGAGAATGCAGATTTGAGTATAGTTTGCCCAATACACGGGATAGCCAAGACTGAAGACATTAATTAGTCATTTGTCAATGGCTCTTCCCTATGCAGTTGGATTGAATAAATAAACCTCTAATGCAGTTTGATTCTAATTTGCCCTTAGGCGTAAAAAATAAAATAAAATAAAATAAAAAAGATTTTGATTCTAATCAGATTTTTTGGATTATGGATTTCATCCCATTCTGATGGGTTTACTCTTTGCTCAATATGTTGTCTTGTTTTCATAAGTCCAATTATGTATTAAATATTTAAAGTCTTTAAATGATTATTCAAACCAAGAGTTAAAAGTTCAATGGAAATTTATGTAACCGTTTCTGGTCACGTATCATTTTTTTGGTTAAGTACCTCGTCATCTCGTCTGCTTTTAAGTGGCCGATGACTCAGGGGCTAAAGTGGAGCTCCCTAGTGTAGTACAACCTGGTTGCTCCCTGCAGGAGATGATCTGCTCATCTTTGTAGACGGCGGGAACTGGTTGCCTGCAAGAACTGAATCAGAGAACTCGGGGTGAATTATCCAACGGGGACTCCGATGGCTAAGTTAGCACATAGTAGTGAGCTAAAAATGATGTTAGAGAATGAGAGAGCTAGAGAGCTAGAGAGCACCCTTTTCTTTTTCCTCCTCTCTCCTCATTTTTTCTCATACCTCTTCCTCTGGGGGGTGAGGTCTTTATATATTGGAGTCTTCGCGGGTTTGGTGGAGCAGTTCCTGGATTCCCACTGTGATGGGACCTGTTTTCGTGTTAGGTGGAGATAAAGCCACCAACCGGTAAGGTGGCCCATTTCTGCCTAAATTGGGGAGTGGGTGAGCTAATATAGCCATTACAAGTCACAATCCCGTAGAATGCGGGGTACAGTGGTGAGCTCCTTGGAATTATCATGCGGTGGTCGAGCTGCCTGTGAGGAGTCGAGTTGCTTGGTGGCGAGCTGTCTGTAAGGTGCCAGGCTGCATGGTGGCGAGCTGCCTGGGAGGAGCCACCTGGTGTAGTTAGCACTTATTTGTCATGAGGTACCAGGTGTCACAATGTCATTGGAGGGCCAAATCCGCCCTCATCATTTGCCCCCCACTCCCGAGCTGAAGATAACTCAGTGAAGGGAGTAGATTTCTCCTTTTGGCCCGTAATTCAACGAGCTCGTAAGCGCTAATTCAGTTTCTTAGGCTCTGGGAGCGACTCGTAGTCCATTCCTGGATTTTGCCCATGCCGAAGAGGCGATTGTGTTTTAAGTGGTGCTGAGGTCTCTGCCAGTTCTGTACTTTAGCCCTTAGGTTCTGGGAGCGACTTATAATCCACTCTTGTTGATTTTGTCCATGCCGAAGAGACGACTAAGTCTTAAGCAGTATTGTGGCCCTTAGGCTTTGAGAGTGATTCATAGTCCACTCCTGAACTTTGCCCATGCCAAAGAGGCGATTGTGTCTTAAGCAATATTGTGGCCCTTAGGCTTTGGGAGCGACTTATAGTCCACTCCTGAACTTTGCCCATGCCGAAGAGGCGACTGGGACTTGTGAAGTGCTGAGCTGCCTGTGAGGTGTCGGGCTGACCAGGTGCCGAGCTACCTGTGAGGTGTCGGGCTGACCAGGTGCCGAGCGGCTTGTGAGGTGCCGTGCTAACCAGGTGCTGAGCAGCCTGTGAGGTGCCAGGATGACCAGGTGCCGAGCTGCCTATGAGGTGTCGGGCTGACCAGGTGCCGAGTTGCCTGTGAGGTTCCGGGCTGACCAGGTGCCAAGCTGCCTGTGAGGTGTGGGGCTGACCAGGTGCCGAGTTGCCTGTGAGGTTCCGGGCTGACCAGGTGCCGAGCTGCCTGTAAGGTGCCGGGCTGACCAGGTGTCGAGCTGCCTGTGAGGTGCCGAGGTTTCTGCCAATTCAGTACTTTAGCCCTTAGGCTCTGGGAGCGACTTGTAGTCCACTCTCCTTGACTTTGCCCATTTCGACGAGGCGGCTGGGTCTTTTTCAGTTCATGAGTTCACGCCTGGGCCAGGCCGTCAGGCCGTGCCAGACCGCCAGGCCGCGCGCAGGCCGCCAGGTGGGCGCCTTTAGGGCTGTTCACGGGTCGGGTTGGGTCGGTTTGCTGAGGTTTTTCCAACCGACCCGACCTGGTCGGGATACCT